AAAATCATTAGCAATTATCTCCAATAAAGGTTTTATATCCACAGTATATAAGGAATGGATTAAAATATATAAAAAGAAGATCTATTTCCCAATAGATAAATGGTCATTGGAAAAGAACAGGCAGTTATCTCATTATCTTTTTCCAAAAAAAATCCTCCCTTCTTTCTTTCTAATTTTTGGTTAGGGCACCACTATCCTCTCAGTCATACAGATATACGATCTAGGTGTCATCTTCAACTTCTCACTCTAGGCTCCACCATTTCCAATTGGTTGGATTGGATGTGTAACAACTGCCCTACACACCCCCTTCTTTCCCCTGACACTGCCACCACCCTGGTACAGGACCTTATCATTTCACACCTAGACTATTGAAATAGTCTCCGATGCTTTACGATGTTTTCAGAAAACCTGGAAAGACTTATATGAACTGATGCAAAGTGAAGTGAGTAGAACCAGAAGTACATTGAACACAGTAATAGCAATATGGTATGATTATCAAGTGTAAATGACCTAGCTCTTCTCAGCAATACAAAGATTCAAGACAATTCCGAAGGACTTATGATGAAAAATGCTATCCGCCTCCAGAAAAAGAACTGATGGAGTCTGAATACTGATTGAAGCATACTATTTTTTACTTTCTTTTTTTTCATGATTGTGTATATGTTTTCTTTTGCAAGATGGCTAATATAGAAATATGTTTTGCATGATTGCACATCTATAACCTATATCAAATTGCCTGCCATCTCTGGGAGAGGAGAGAAGAGGGAGGGAAGGAAAAAAAGAGAATTCAGAACTTAGAATAAGAAAAAATTTTAAATTGTTTTTATGTATAATTGGAAAATAGATTACATATACCATCTATCTATCTATCTATCTATGTGTATGTGTGTGTGAAAATATATATATGAAAACAAATAACCTGCTAGTTGGTTTCCCTCCCTCAAGTCTCTGCCCACTCTAGTCCATCCTCCACTTAGTTGTTAAATCAAGCTTCCTAAAGCACAGGTCTGAACATAACACCCCCCTATTCAATAAGTTCCAGTGGCTCCTTATCACTTCCCAAAATCAAATATAAAATTCTTTGTTTGGCTTTAAAGTCTCTCATAACCTTGTGCCTTCCTCCCTTTCAAGTCTTCTTATACCTTACTCCAGCATCTATGTACTCTGCACATCCAATGACACTACCCATTTTGCCGTTCCTAGAATACAATACCCACCTCCCTATACTAAATGTTTTCACTGCCTGTCTCCTGTAACTGGAACACTCTCTCTCCTTATCTTAACTTTCAGGATTCCCTGGCTTCCATCAAGTCCCAGTCAGAGTCCTACCTTCTGCAAGAAGGCTTTCTCAGTCCTCCTTAATACAGTGCCTTCCCTCTGAGATTATTTCCAATATAGTCTGTATATATCTTATTTATATATAGCTGTTTGTAAGTTGTCTCCTCCATTAGGCTGTGAATTCTTTGAAATCAGAGGCTTTTTTTTAAACTTTCTTTGTTTAAACTTTTCAAAGTTTAAACTTTCCTCAGTGCCTGGTATAGTTCCTGACAAATAGTAGGAGCTTCATAAATGCTTGTTAACTTATCAAAAAAAGAAATCCAAGCTATTGACAGTCATATGAAAAATATGTTCTGAATCACTAATAAATGAAATGCAAATTTAAAACAGCTCTGAGGGTTCTACCTCCCACCCACCGGATTGGCAAAGATAACAAAAAAGGAAAATGTCAATTGTTGGAAAGGCTGTGGGAGGACAGGCACATTGATGCAGTATTGGTGAAGCTGTGAATTGATTCAGCCATTCTGGAAAGTAATTCAGAACTATATCCAAAAAGTCTCTAAACTGTCCCTAAAGTTTGACTCAGTCATATCACTATATACCTATATACCATATTGCATATACCCTCCAAACAGATCAAAGACAGAGGAAAGGGACCCATGTGTACAAAAATATTCACAGCAGCACTTTTTGTTATAACAAAACCTGAAGATGTCCATCAGTTGGGGAATAGATGAACAAATTATGGCATATGAAGGTAATAGAATATTATGGTGCTATAAAAGGGAATGATACAGAGAAGTGAGGTGAGGGGAGGCTAAGAATAGGAACTTGTAATTTCATTGGTTTAGGGAATTCCTGGTTGAGTGAACTCCTTGTACCAATGCAGGCTAGTAGCTTTTCTGAAGCTTAGTCTTAGAGAGCTAGATTACTATTAGATTACTCGGACAGCTTAGATTACTACGAGGTTAAGTGACTTGCCTAGGGAGTCGGTATGAGTCAGAGGCAGTACTTGAACCCAGGGTTTCTTGACTTCAAAGCCAACTCTCTATCCAACATTCAAACATCATGCTGTGTCTTCTCTAATGAATGGGAAAGAGGGAAAGAAGAGGAGAGGAGAGTGGGGAGAGAGGAAGAGATGGGAGGAGAGAGGAAGAAATCAGTGAAACATTTTAAAAAAACTTCACAGAAGAGAACAGAATAGCTTTAACACTAATATCTTACGTTTTTTATATCCTTTTGTTTTTAAAGCTGTTTAGAGATTTGGGATTTCATATACAGTCCTCTTTTTCTTGTTCTTTAATGTATAAGGAAATGTTCATGTTGGTGGTGTTTGTCAAGGTCAGAATAACGAAAATTTTTTTAAAAAAATTTTAATAACACGTATGCCCTGGAATTCAAACTCTCTCCTTTGTCTCATCCTAGTTCCACGTTCCATCACTACTTTCCAAGTCTTCCAATCCAATCTTTCAGGTGACTGTACCATTCCCTCAAGCTTTTGTACCATAATATATCTCTTCTCCCTTTCATAGCCAAAGGACTGGGAAAAGTTTTCTACATTCATTGCCTTTACTTCTCCCAATCATCATTCCTCAACCCCTGGTTCCAAACCAGTGTTCTCTCCCAGGATACCAATAATATCTGTCTTAAATGCAACCTTTTCTCAGTCCTTACCCTACTATACCTTACTGAGCTGACTACCATTGCCTACTGAATACTCTCTCTTTTCTGTGTTGTCGTGACATTATTCTCTCTTGACTCATCTCTTGCCTATTTGGCAGTTCATATTCAGTTCCCTTTGCTGGTTGCACCAACAGTATCTCACCTCATAATTGTGAATGTCTCCCAAGGCTCTGTCCTGGGCCCTCTTCTCTTCTCTATATACCTTCTCAGTGATCTCCTCAGCTCCTGTGGATTCAAATATCATCTCTATGCAGATGACTCCCAGATTTGTATATCCAGCACCAATCTCCGTCTTGTTCTCCAATCTCACATCAATATTAGTGTTGCCAGGTAGACATTTTGAAATGGATGTCCTGCAGATATCTCAGATATATCCAAAACAACTCATCTTTCCCCAAACACACGCCTCTTTCTAACTTTCCTCTTTCTGTTGAGTTCACCACAATCCTTCCAGTCACCCAGATTTGAAACTCGAAGTCATCCATGCTTCTTCACATCCCTTCACTCTGCTCAACCTTCAAATAGTTGCCAAATATTATCAATTCTGCCTCCACAATAAATCTTAAATTTAACCCTTTCTCACATGGCCTGCACTCTACTTCAAGTCATTATCACCTCTTGCCCATACTATTGGTCTCCTTGATTCAAGCTTCTAGGTGGCACAGTGGTTCTAGAGTCAGAAAGACATGAGTTCAAATCCAGTCTCAGATACTAAGGGACCCTTGGGCAAATCACTTAGCCTCTGTCTGCCTCAGTTTCCTCATCTGTAAAATGGTGATAAAAATAGCACCTACCTCCAGGGGCTGTTTTGAGGATCAAATGAAATAATATTTATAAAGCACCTATCACATAATAGGTGCTTAATAAATACTTGTTTCATTCCTTCCCTCTCCACTCCATCCTCCACATAGCTGCCAAAGTGATATTCCTACAGCACAGGTCTGACCATGTCATTTTCCTGCCCAGAAAGGCTCCAGTGGTTCCCTGTTGCCTCTAGGTTAAAATACAAATGTCTGTTTGGCATTTAGAACCCTTTACAATCTGGCGCCAGGCACATTACTCATCACTCCCCCATTCATTTAAGGTCTGTTCCAACGAAACTGGCCTACTTGCTATTCCTCACAAATAATACTCCATTTCCCCTTTTCCTGCCTCTGCATAGGCTATCCTCAATGCCTGAAATGCACTCCTCCTCACCTCTTAGAATCCCTAGCTTCCTTCAAAGCTCAGTTCATGTATCACCTCCTACATGAGGCTTTCTTTCCTAATATCCCCAACTGTTCATGCCCCCTCTCCCATTACTTTGTATTTATTTTCCATATATTTTGTATATGTACAGGTTGTTTCCTTGTGGTAGAAAATGAAATCCTTGAGGGAAGGGACAGTTTTGTTATTTTGCTTTGTATACCCAGGGCCTCCTTTTAAAGTGCATTGGTATATAGTAGGCACTTATGAAATGCTTGTTGATTGATTCTCAGTAAATCATTCAAGCATTGGATATCCCACCCCCTCCCAACGACCCAAAGTCTCAAACTGAGCAGTAGCATCTTTTTCGCCCTTGGTCCAGTCTGCAGAAAAACATTCTCTCTACATTGGGAATGCCACTATGGGGGATATAAAGTTCAGGGCCCTATAAATTGCAGGCCATCTGTGGGAAACGGGAAGATATATACTAACTCTCTTCTATTCTCTTGGGTTCATCACATCATTGCTTGTTTCTCTACAGCAGCCTAGCTAGGGAAACACAGTCAGATTCACCAGCCCCTAATTTCCATTACTGAAGCATTTATTTCCTCAACCTCCAGCCTTCCAGGCTTAGAAGGGTTTGATCGCCGCTGACCACGGGGAGGGGGAAGGAGAGGAAGAGCCTACCCAGCTTTCCATCCATTCATTCGGATGAAGCGCTTCCTGGGCTACCCAGCAGAGGGAGCAGCCCCCTTGTCGCCCCTCCTGGGGGGCAGTCTGCCCCAACTGGGGCTCTGCTGCCCCTGCCATACGCTCCCACTCTTGCTCGCTCTCCCACAGCCGCCGCCCCTTACCGATGGTGGAGATGTGGGAGGAGTGGAACTCGTTGTCCGTGAAGCGGCACAGAAGGCAGGTCTTGCCGACCCCGGAATCCCCGATCAGAAGCAGCCGGAAAAGCACATCGTACTGCTTCGCCATGGCTGGGGCAGGGGGGCTACGGGGCGGCCCCGGGAGGGGAGGGGAGGGGAGGTGGACCGGTCAGGGAAAGCAGGTTAGCCCTGCTCTGCTGGGGCTGCTCCCGCCGCAGGCGCAGGCAGCATCGTGGCCGGCGCCCCGGGAGGATGCTTGCAGCTGCGGGCCGGGGCTGTCCTGACCCTGGGGGCCGGGGCTCTCCGCCTGGGCTCCGTGCTTCTCGGGGTGCCTCTCTCCTAGCTCCCCTCGATGCAAGAGAATGAAGCCCGCTAAAAGACCACGGCCAGAGCTCCACGCTCTCAACGCTGGCCGTGGGAGGAGAAATGCTTGCCTGCCTGTCTGCCTGGCGCGGCGGTAGATGCAGCAGCAGGAGAGGCAGCGGCAGCAGCTCCTGCCCGCCCCTTCCTCCTCTTCGCCCCTAGGAGAGGGGGCGGGGGAGCTGAGAGAGTGGCGGGCTGGGACTGGGAGAAATGAAGCGACCGTGCAGAGGGGCTCAGGTTGGATGGGAGTGGGGTGAAGAGGGAGCTAAGAAGGAAGGTGGCGTGCAGATTCACAGAATGAAGGCACCCACTGCTGCCGGCGCACCACCCCTCTGCTGTTTTGGAGACTCCAGGGGAAGCGCATTTTTGAAGAAATGATGAGAGCACCAAGGAAGATGCAGATGTGGGATTGGGTTTGGGGACCTTGGGCTTGGGGACCTCTGGTTCTTACCAAATGCTGCTTTACATTTTCATCAACCCTCTTCCACCACCTACCTTCATTTCAACTTTACTAACCCTACTGGGACTGAAACCAATCTGCAAGAATCTGGCCTTTCAGCCATCTGCCCACATGGCTTGAGCAGGTATGCAGGGTTTCATCCTTATTCGGATGACATTGTGGATTCCAACCATGGCTTATTTGGGTTCATATCTGGTTATCAAAGGCTATGGAAAAATCCAAATGCTGCTACTGGTGTTTAATACAACCTCTGACTCTTTCTATGCTACATTAATTCCATGTTTAAAATAGGAAGGATGCTGCTCATTGCTCCACAAGAGTGATAGATACTCATAAAACTCTGCAATTGAAAAATGCTATGGAGCTGTTTTATTGATAACTGTCTCTATTAGTTGCTTAGGAAGGCAAGTGTACTTATTTCAGGTTTGCAGTCAGTGTATTGGCCACCCCTGTTCCCCTCCAATGGCAGAAAAGAGTGAATTGCCTCCCTGAAGACATAATTTAGCAAGAAGGAATGACTTGGGCACTTAGAAGATTGAAATATATGTTCCAGAAACTGATTTTTCCCAGAAACCTGTACTAGAGGAAAACAGGTCTAACTTATCAAACAAGAGAGGAATCTACCTAGTTATACAGTTGGAAGAGACCTCAAGAGCCATCTAATCCACCCATTAAAAAGAATCCCTCTATAAAACATCCAACAAATGGCCATCTAGCTTTTGTATAAATGCTTCCTATGATGAAGGGGAACCCATTGCCTTCCAAGGCAACTCATTCTACTTTTGGATACATCTAATTGCTTGAAAGATTTTTCTTCAGTCAAGCCTAAATTGGTCTTTGCAACATTTGCCCTTTGCTCCTAGTTCTCTTTTGGGGTTAAGCTGAACAAATATTATTCCTTTTCCAAGTGACAGCCCTTTAAATACTTGAAAACCATTTTTTGTTCCCTCTAAATCTTTCTTTCTCCAGGCTAAATATCTCTAGTTCCTTAAATGAAAGAACCCTTTCAATTAGTCATTTTGGATAGAATATTTTGTGTTGACATGAAACTCTGTTTTAGATTTAAAATAAATCCATCCCACTTCAGATTAATCCCACTAATTCCTGTGTTCTTATTAGAAATTCTGTATAAAATTTCATGACTCTCACATGCTGATTTTCTCTAGCCCACATAATCTCAAATCTGTTAACGTTTCACTCTAGTTACCTCCATTGGTCTACTTTGTGTTCCTTTTGGCTTTTCTATATCATTTAGATTATCACTAGAAATGGACATAATATGGATAATTCTCCATTTATGTAAGTGGATTCTTCCAAAGGCTTCTAGCAAAGTGGTTTTTACGTAATTCAAATTTGCCCTCTGACATCAGAAGGAAGGGAGGAAAGGGGATAGCACAGGGGCCAGACACGTAGGGGCTAGCCAAAGGAGAGGAAGAACAAGAAGGGTCAGACGTGTGGGGGTTTGACATGGACTTGGACAGGAAGAAACACATGGGGCATGGGGACTGAAATGGGGTACCACCTGCTGATGGAGAGAAGCCAGGCACAAGGGATCTACATGTGAATAGTATATCAAAGGTCTCTTCTCCCTGCTCCAGAGGTCTCAAACCAAGCTCCCATCCAGCAGCAAGCATCTATTCTTCTGCTCTCACTTTGAGGGGTTTGTTTTGTTTTTGGTGGGGAGGTGGGAAAGCAGGAGCAGGAGCAGAAGGAGAGCGAAATACAGTACTGTAAAGTTAACATAGGTTTTTTTTTTTGGAATACAGATTTCTTTCAGAATTCTTTACCTAAAGTTGAATTTGTGTAATGTGAATTAATGTAAAGCAAGAACTGTCTGTATTCTTTAAAAAATATCTTGTATCTCTCCTCTTCCACCACAACTATTCAAATCCTCACCGTCCCTCGTCTGGATTACTGCAATACCTTGATAATTTGTCTCCTTGGATCCAGTCTTTTCCTGTTCCACTCTGTGCACCAAACTGATATTACTAAAAAAGCATTTGAAAACTTTTTGGTCTCAGTACTCCCAGGATAAAATAAAAGTTCTTGTTTAGTACTTAAAACTCTTCACAATCTGTCTGCAATTTATATTTCCAGAGTGATTACACATTAACCCTTTCGTGTACTCTATGTTCTAGGCAAACCGGCTCATTTGCTGCCCAGAACATTCCACCCCATCTCTATGCCGTAGCACAAGCTGTGCCTACACGTGGAAGATTCTCTCAACCTTCCACATCTTGGAACACAGCTCTCTTCAAGGCTCAGTCCTGCAAAAGACCTTTCCAGTTGTTTCCCCTATCCTACCCCCCAAAACGGCTTTGAATTTATATGTTTGTTCTGTTTGTCCTTCATTCTTGAAAAGGACCTGATGACTTCAGAAAGGTGATATCTTAACTTGTAAATGAATTGGATTTAAGTGAAGCAGGGCTGTGCAAAGTCCCTGGCCATCAAAACCCAAAAGATAACCGAATGGGTTGTGGGCTAGGACTTATTATGTGATTTTTGGGGGGAGGGAGTTAGTGTTCCCCCTCACCTACTTTTTTCTTTTTTTAATTGATTAATAAATATTTCATTGTTTTTTCTGGTCCTCATACGACATAATCTTGAGATGTTTCACCATACCAGTTTCTTTCCTCTGAATGCTTTCCAGAATATCACATAAAAATTTTCCTATAAATATCACCTTTCTTTCTCTTTAGTTTGAGAATTTTAAAAATTCTTCTTTTCTCATAAAATTATATTTTCCATCAACACCTCTTCTTAGTTTGATTCCATGGGAACACCATGCCCCAACCCAGCATAAGCTGATCATCTGAAATTTTATCACCATGCAGATTGACCCTGGTTCTGATACTCAACACCTCAATTCACCTTCAGCTGCCTCTCCCTTCTGATTGGAGGGCTGGAGGGTGGGGCCTTCCAGCTTCTTCCAAAGCCTTCCAATCTAGAGGGCTCACGATCTTCCAGGTAACTCCTATTTTCCATTAGCCGTTCTGGCTTCTATTCCATATACTCCATGGTAGCCACCCCACCCCCCTTTTCAGTTTCCTTTTGTATGTTGTCTTCCCTGATTAGATTGTAAGCTCCTTGAGAGCAGAGACTGTATCTTTTTCTTATTTTTATCTTGCACAGTGCCTGGTACATAGCAGGCACTTAATAAATGTTTATTCAGTTGAATATATGTAACATCCCTGCTGGACTACTCTCCCCAACTTAACTTGTACTTTGTTGTTATTTAGTCATTTTCAGTCATGCCTGACTCTTCATGACCCCTTTTGGGGTTTTCTTGGCAAAGACACTGGAGTGGTTTGCCATTTCCTTCTCTACCTCATTTTACAGATGAGGAAGCTCAGGCAAACAGGGTGAAGTGACCTGCCCAGGGTCACACAGCTGGTCTGAGGCGGGATTTGAACTTAAGTCTTCCTGACTCCAGGCTCAGTGCTCTATCTACTGTATCCCCTAACTGCCCAACTTATATTTGCCCTTAGATTAAGGCTAACTTGTATTCTAGGGCTAATTGTCCCAAAGGTGGGAGTGATAGAGATGGGGTACAACTACTCTTAAGAGTTGAAGGGTATTCCTTTAGGAGGCCACCACCAGGGATTCCTCAAACTCCCCCTTTTTTCTAAATTACTTGATTAGAAAATTTTAATTGCTGCTACTTTCCACAGAAAATGCCATGTTCACTAATTGTGAATACAGGAAAATTGCTTTTTAGTGCTGCTTTGCTTAAATACAAATCAAAATTCTATAATTTAAACTATATGTAATTATTCTCTTTTTTGTCTGTTATCTCAAAAATTTATTTTCTGATTATCATGAATTGTTAATGCTATAAAATGAAGGATAAATATCTAATATTTTCCTACGTAATAAATTTCCATAATGAATTGGGGGGAGGAGAAATAGTACTGAGTACAACCCTGTAGTGATGCCACTGTTGGTTGGGTAGATTCTTCATGTTTTGGGAAAACATGGAGAAAAATTGTAGCTTGTGAATACTAGAGGAGTTTCAATCAGATATCTATTGACGCTGAGGACGTCACAGTTCTTTTCAAGCATCAAAGACCAAAAAACTTAGTGGCAAATCACCTTACTGTTTTGCTAGATGGTGGAAATGAATCCCATACTGGAACCTGAGCTTTAATTGAGTAAAAACTGAGAAAGGAAAGGAATATGTTTCTTTAATATTATTTCCCGTATTTTTCCCCTTATACTACTGATGATTTTCCTTATTTTAATTTTTCCTTCCCATAATTTTCAAAGTTTAGTAGTGAAGTTCTGTTTCTCCATGTTTGGTACTAAAATTTCAGAAAAGGTTTCTGTGAAAGG